TTAGTTAAAATACTAAAATTTTGGAATGTTGACCTTCATGTGTCTCTTCCAGGTCAGTATCATGTTGCCAAGTCAATATTACTAACAAAATTGCTAACTGGAAGTTAACATTTAGATAATTCTTACTAATTCGATAGGTTTGGATAATATAAAAAAATCTGAAAAAGATTTGGATAAAAAATAGACATTACCCTAATTTTAACTATGAGTTGTAGTCATGAAAGTGGAGGGCCTAGAAGGATTCATAAAAAATATGCAAAATCCAGTTGAAGACTTGTTTTATGTTGCTACTAAAAAGAAGGCCGGAGACACGAAATGGGTTAAGTAAGAGAAGTATTATGATTTTAAAATAGTATACGTGGTCGACCGTTTAAATAATGAGGTCGACCGATACTATGCAAGTCACAATCGACATTTATGTTATTTTCTTGTTTTGCAATTTGGTCGTTATTGACTTTTTTAATGAAAAACGTACAACGAGAATATTTGAGTTCGATCATTAGCGAGAGTAGCTGGATTTGCTCATCCGTAAGTACTATACTTCTACGAGTTTGGTATGAATTGTGCACTATTTCTGTTATGATTTACGATGATTTTGTGGTCGATTGTTGGTTTATAGGTAGTGGATTTGTGTGCAAGTGCACTAATAATGTCTGAAAAGAATGAGAAGAACGGGGCAAATGTGTGATATTTTCCAAATATTTTTTCGGTAAGAGTCGTAATTTTTATTTATTTGTCATAACCTAGTTATTAATATTGTACCATGTCAATTAATCTAAATAAAAATATGGTGCAGAAAATGGTACGTAGTAACATGAAGACTGAACAAATCCGTAACAAGTTGATGGATGATTGTGTGGTGTTTATGCCGAATGTTAGCGCATGCCAGAAGGTTAGTCAATGTCCCAACATCATTAAGCTTACTGAAAGTGCATTTGTTTGTATTCTCATTTTATAACATATTCATTTTATTTGTTAGATATTTATGCCAGTTCTGGACGACGAGGCACATCATGTCTGTATCTCATCAATGTCTAGCAAAAATCCGCATTTATGCTTGACAGTCTACCATCAACTATTGAGGCAGTTCGTAAGCGTAAATCAAACCATTGAAACAAATTGGTAAGTGTTTCCTATAATTATCTGACTACTAAGTGTCACGTATACTGCTAGAAGCATATAATGTACATTATTAGTGTGTAGTTGACCAAACTGCACGATATTTTCAAACCAGAGCGCATGAGCAATGCAGCTGTACCAAATTTTGGAGATTTCAATATCGATGAGCTACGCGTTCAATGGCAAAGGAACGTTACCGAGTGTTGTGTGCACATGATGCAGTGGATGCACTATGGATTCAAAGATCTGGATAGTGGTTAATATATCATCAACCAAAAAAATTGCTTAAATTTGTTTTTCTCTAGTCCTAACGAAGTGTTATATGCCATAATGCAGATAGGAGATATCTCTCAATGTACCATAGTACCCCAAAATGGTATAGTACTTCTACAACAACATTGTCTATCAACCTAATGCAAATAGATCAATTTATGCTTTTAAAAGCTATGTGGAAGGGTTGGAGATGCGTATCACCAAGAATGTGTTGGTGGAAATGCTGGAGACTCCAACCAGGAAAGAGAATCAATTCTTACAATGCTTGGAATGAAACTCATTTCTTGAGAACCAAGCAAATTCAGACTGTATGTGGTCTTGCTGTAGAGGAAGATGTTTAGGATCGCAGTAGGCCAACGATTCGCCAGCTGACAATTCAAGCCAGATTTCTTCACCACATGCTCTCCTACAATATTCTACCAAAGGGTGGACATCGGGAGGCAGTCACCTACTTCGACATGGAGCTCCTCACCAACCTACTTTCAAATGAGAAGGTGAACTTGCCATACTTGATCTTTAAACACATGCTTGCTTTTGTAGAGAGTTTAACCAGGAATCTCCCATATGGGATAATCCTGACTTTGCTATTTGAGCATTTTGGTGTGGATTTAAGTGGTGAGGTTGGCTTAAGAATTACAAGGCAGGACTTTCCTCAATCATTGATGGTTCTAGAAATGCTAATCCTACATTACCTGCAATAGTCCCAGTGTGGTTGATCATCCTCTCGGACCAACTACTGATCATCGCCTTGGTAAGCTATTACCTATACAGTTTCATCCCTGAAGAAGATGAGATTTGAGATGCATAATGGTGAGTATGTCCGAGCATACAATTCTCATGTAGTCCATGGTGGTGATGATGATAAGGATGATGTTGTTGATGATGATGAAGAGCCCAGAGACGAGCCAATGGTGCAGCCACAGAGTTCAACTCCACCAGTCACCTTAGAGAGTATATGGGAGCGCATGGATGACATGTACGACTACATGGGGCAGATGTCCACCCGAGTGACTGGCATGTACGACTATATGGGCAGATCGCAGATGACCACCCAGATGAGCACACTGCAAGTGATTGTAACAGAGCTGCGATATAAGTTCCGATCTTTCAGTGGAAGATACATGCATCCCACCTCATCTGACTACCATAATGCTAGCACCACCAATGAGGAAAATGCGAATGAGTGAGAGAGGGGAAAGGTGTAGGAACTCGACGATTTAAGATTGTGTTTTGTTGTTGTTAAATCTTAAAGACGATTGTGGATTGATATGATGTGGTTTTCGATTTTAGGTATGTGTGAACAATTATGAGGTGTGCTTTATTGTATTTCTTGTAAGTGTATTAAGTTGTTATGTTATGAAGTTATGAGTCCTTGATATAATGATATACGACTGATTTTGTTGGTTTGAAATGTAATTTGTACGAACAAACGAACCACCCACATCGACATACGTAAGCAAAAAAGACGCAGGTCATAGGCTGATTTTCCTGTATTTGGTCGACCTCTTATTGTATTCGGTCGACGTCGAACCAACACTCTTGATCTTCATTTTACGTCAAAGGGGGATGGATAAATGGATAGAACACTTTACTCTTCTATCAGGTCGATCTCTTTCTGTAAATGGTCGACCATTTTGGTAATGACCGCCATCAAGTGGTCGACCTACTTACCTTCACGGTCTACAATTTTGCTTCTAACTCCAATGAAAAGGACGACCGATATTTTATTGTGGTCGACGGATAATGTCTCAACTTAACTGAAAATGGTCGACCATTACATTTTAAAGGTTGACCGTGATAAGTCATCAGAGTGCCCACATTAGTGTATTTAGTCGACCTCAGTTAGGAATATGTCGATCGAAAAGTGCAAGTTACGGTGACTTGCAAGGCACCATAGGCGCACCCTAATAGTAATTTAGTTGTAGATGTATCAATTTTTCTCAATTCTTCGTAGTTTATCTTTCTTTTGGTATGTTGTATATATGAGCTTTCTGGTATACTTTAAGTGTTTTGTGGTGTGGTTTGTCATATTTTTATCTGAATGATATTTACGTTAAGCTTTAGTTTTATTATCTACCATTGTAGTCAAAGTCGCGTTTTAAAACATAAAAACTTACGCTTTTACACTTCTAGGTCGCCAAAACGCTTCTACGTAAAAATTTAGTTTTTATAATTATGTAGTTAAGAACGCGCTTTAAACCTTAAAAACTTACGGTTTTACGCTTCTACGTAGAAACAGACTTTTGACTATATTGTTGTATACTTTAGGAAACTTTTGGTTCTTGCTTGTTTTATGTGTTTTGTGGCGTGGTTTGTCATTTTTCTGGACTGCGTCATGAAGTGGTCCACAGTGTGTTGCTCTGTTAATTTAAAAAAAAAAAATAGCAGACATGCCCCTACTTTTATAATCAATATCAAATTATGATCAATCTTTTAAATATAATGAAAAACTCATCAAAATGAAATGTTTTACCGACCGGTTGGATTTAGTATTAGCTCCATACTAAGAAATTTTGATAAACCCCTTCAATATAAAACGTGATACAAGAACCTGTGCCAAAATTTTGTGTGATTTGGACCAGTTTGTCCATGAGAGACAAAAACATGACTTGACAAGTTGGGCATACATACTGATATAGATAGATTGAGATAGCACAACGGTGCTTAGGGACAAACAAAGAAGCAGTTGAGTGCTCCCAAAACTTGGGGACCTCTTCTTCGATACATATTAATTGTGGCCTAGCTAGCACCACTGCTGCGAAAGAGTGTAGTAGCTAGGTAGTTACAAACTTAAAAATGAAGTGGGGGCAGGGCAGGCAACACTACTTGATCAAAATCGTTACACAGTCGCGCGCCCACATATAAGGAAGGATTAAGATGGGACGACTTTGCAGATCCAGACACTGCCATATATAGTAACACATCAGCTGTAAGCTTATCCAGACAAACCCTAGCTAGCTATAGGCTAGCGATCGAGCTTCCTGTCTCTTCTTCCTCTCAATATGCAGACAAGCTACTAAGCTTACTATTGCTCTGCAATTTCCAACTTGCTGTACTTACTAGTCAGTACTAGTGATCAATGTATAGGGCATTTGTAATGCAGATTCTGCCCCGACTAACTTCCTACCAAAAAGACTCATGAAATTCTTTCTGGGGATAATATATCACTGGATAAGATTAGATAGATAGGCGAGACCACGGAGTGTCCGTGGTAGTGATCATCTGGGCCATACATTGTCGTTTCTATATTGCAACAAGTATAAGCATAAAGCATGACCAATCAAAGCTCCTCCACCATATTTAGCTGGACATTGAAGAGGTTTTATCCAGTTGCTCATTCAATGTCACACAAAGACCACACATGTTACTTTTTATATTACCCCAATAACTGTGGCCACCAACATCAATGTCGTTGTAGTATAGTGGTAAGTATTCCCGCCTGTCACGCGGGTGACCCGTGTTCGATCCCCGGCAACGGCGATTTTATTTTTAACATGATACTCCTTCTTTGGGATGGCTTTCAATTAATTGGGCCCAGAGCCATAAAAGTTTAAAACTATTTCAGGCCTAAGTAGGCAGATATCGGGCCCATTATTCCAACACCGCTACGAGAAGTGAAGAAAATGGGAAAGATAATTCACAAAGCTACTCGCAGTCGGCAGCAGAAGGGAAGAAAAGAAGGAATCCGCCGGAGAAAAGCCGTTTAACCAAAGTCTCTCTCTCTAGGCCGTTTTTCACTCTCTCAAGTGTGTGGATATGCAGTCACTGCTTCTCCCGGCGGTATCTTCCGCCGTCACGGTTGGAATGAACCCGTCTCTCCTTCATTTCCGATCTCGGCGGCTGCTGTTTTCTACTCATTCCGTGTTATTTTCGCGAAAGCCCACGCCGCAGCAGTCCTCCCTCTCATTTCACTCTTCTTCCCAGATAGCCTATGATCCTCTTGGAAGCAGGGGCCGCAGGTTATCTTTCTCCTCGAAGATTGCTGCTTCCTCTCCGGTTTCTGCTGCTTACACTTCCCCAAATGACGAATCGGAGCGAGCCAAACTTGCTCAGGTCCGAAATTACCCCCAATTCCAGTTCATATTTTAGCTGGAATCTGAATTTCGTAAGCTTTTGTTCACTATCTTGCTCGTGTAGTTCCAGCTATGCTACTTTGTTGAGGACTCCAATTCTGGAAAATGTAGTTTAATTTGTCGTGTTAAGTGGCGGGTTTAGATGTTTTATTGGTAAAGAGAAGTTGTGGGAAATGATTGGAATTGCGCGAATTATTCGTTTAGGGGCTGAATTTTGGTGAAGGGGTTAAGTTGCGAATTGTTCTTTGAAGTAGGGATGGGAGTAGAGGTTGTAACTTTTGTGCACGGTGTAGGTTGCTAAGAGATTGGCGAATACATCCAGGCGTTTCAAGCGGTTTGGAAGTATAGGTTTTTGGGGGCAGCTGATTTGCACGGTGGTGGCCGCTGTGATCCTTTCCTTTTCGGTTGTTGCCACTGGGAGAATCTCGTCCCCTGCAAGTTTCTATACAACCGCTGGTGGTATAGCTGCAGCTTTTATCTCAGTGTTCTGGTCTTTTGGGTATATCCGGCTCTCTGAAAAGCTTCGGAGGACTGCGAACGAGCCTTCTAAGGTACCATTCGTTGTGTGTTGCTTTGGTATAATTCCAGAAATGTACATGCTTATCTTAAAATTTCAAAGTAGTCGCTTTTAGGCCAAATTGATTGACGGGGTGATGGAGATAACAACTTAGTTCAATTCTGTATATTAGGACCTTGCGCCAGATGCTAGCCTATATTTCGTTGAATGCTGATCTAGATCCTTAACTGATCAGCAGAAAATGAATGCAAAGTAGTGTTATCATATATCTACACTCAGCTCAGCCACATAGACAAATGAGTAGTATGCATAGATGATCCCTTTTCTTGGTATTGAGTTCATAATTGAGCAATCCAAGGGTACTGGTCCATGAAAGAGAGAATAATGTTTCGGGTGTTAGTTTTTGCATATTAAACACACATGCCATGATCTTCTTTTCTAGACAAGCATTTGAAAATTGTTCAAATGTTCCTCATCATTTGAGAAGAACAACAAGGGATCAGAGTGTTTGGGATCACAACTTTGACCTCTTGATTTTGTTTCATTTTATTCAGTTGGATATTTTACCTGTATGCTAAGGTAGATGCTCTCGCATGGAGTGGTAACTATTGAGCGCTTCCATTACCGATCCACATGGTCCTTTCTGTTTACTTTAACTTCCATGGTGTGGGAAGTCAGATCTCATAAGCAAATTTGAGTGTCACAACGTCACCATGATTTGATTTTTCAGTGTGACATATGACTTTGTATGCCAATATGTGAGTTCGCTGAATATATGATTACCACTGCTTGGGAGCCACTTATTGTCGAGACAACTGAATTCTCTGGGTATATCTGTTTCATATGCCTCGTGTTTCATCAGTTTCTGTTGGTTTCAGGCACCACCTCGGGCTGAGGTCGTAAAAGGCTTGAGAAATGGCATCATCTTGAATCTGTTGGGCATGGGTGCTGCTGTTCTTGGTATGCAAGCCACAGTAGGGACATTGGTAGCCAAGGCATTGACTTCTTCTGCAAACCCTTATTACCAGGGGATCTCTCCAGGATACAGTCCTGTTCTTGCATTGGACGTTTTCTTGGTGCAGGTATATTGTCTCTCATTGAGCCTGCTTGTCTGCTATCTGATTGCTACGTCGTGGTTCCCAACTGTTGAATTACCAGGGACAGTAATTTCTTTGGCAGAGACTGTTCACAGTTTTCGTTGTCTTACGTACTAATTATGCTGTATGCTATGTTTCCTGCAGGCATCAGCAAACACAATCCTCTCTCACTTCCTCGGGCTTCTCTTCTCCCTAGAGCTGTTACGATCAGTTACACTACCACCTTCAGAAGCCACTCCCGTACCTAGGCTTGCATAAAGCATGTGATGTGAACCATTACCGGGTAGGCAATGAGTTTTGGTCAGCTCGAATTATTAAAGGTTGTAATGGTAGGAACTCCAGTTGTCTTGAACGGAAGAAGTTCCAGATTAGTGTGTACTTTGCAAGCATAAGAACCCTTCTGGTGAAGTTTGAACTTCCCAGAACTTGAGCCAATGTGCATAAACTGCAGCTCTCCATTCTGCTTCAAGATGTGAAAACAGAGAACCTCTAATGGAAACGAGAACAAAACTCATTCTGCTTCAGGAGTGGAAACTTTGCAATATGAAGATGCACATAAGACAATACACAATCCAACAAAGCTGTAGATTTTACATTCTAGTCATTGTAATGTGGTACATAAATATATATAGATGATAGAGTACTCGCACCTTTCGGAAAACAATACAGACAGTAAAATCTATTAAAACATGAGAAAACTGATCATAACCATGAACAAAGAAGCAAGCTTTAAGCATCAGACCAGGAGATATACAGATCACCCCAGTCACTCTCCGACACTCCTGATGCCTTCCACCCTGTCTTTTGTGTGTTGACAATGTTGTTAGGACAAGGCGGCTGATAATCTCGAAGCTGTTCCATGTTAGAGTCTCCTTTGTGGTGCAGTGCTTGCCGGTTTTAAAGCAGTCGGATTCCTCTCTTGCATTGTTTTAAAGCAGTCGGATTCCGCCCGTTATGTGCCCACTTGGTTGCAGCTCTGCCCTTCAACATAGGTCACAACCAAAACTATAATGGCGATAATGAGGAGAGTCATCTTCTTCATGGTTTTCTTCTCTCTTTTTTTAGTGGCGGTAGACCAGTAATATTTTTTATCGTTCATTGAGTATCATTTTAGTCTATTTTTGACAATTGGCCTCAAATTCCTGTTTGTTGGCTTAACTGCAAGTGTAAGAAAACAACTTTTTCCCACATAGGCATGCCAGCCAGTTTACCTAGATGAAGGGGACTCATCTAAAAGACTCGAACCAACGAAATCCACCCAATTAGTGATCCAATCTTACTTATTAATCAGAAACTCAATCCACAACCGACTAGTGGGAGAAACTTCTTGCATTAATTCAAACTTGCAATCTCCAGGAGCTCCATGGACCAGCATCCATATAACCATAAATCCATAATAGAGATACAATAACGATCATCTAAACTACAGTCCATTCATCAACCCATAATCGTCAATAGACCACAGATACATAATCCATACACAGCAAGAAAATAGATATCATCCATAGACCATAAACCGAAAAGACATCAGGTACTACCAAAAGCAAAGTCGAATCAGTCCGATGAACTGCCTTCATTCTCCTGACTCGAATCTGAATCACTTTCTTCATCTTCTTCTCCCAGAATAGAAGCATTCACGGTCCGAACCATAGATTGGAACGCTAAGTCAAATGTATAGGAAAATCAGTATCAACAAATGGAGCACAGATACGAATCAAAACTACTTGATAGAGAAAAAATTATTACCATTTTCAAGTTCTTCTGGATCCTCATAATCATCCTTGGAAAGTGGCGATGAGTAATTCGAAGATCTCAACCAATCTTCACTACATATGAGAGCCTCCATAATCTTGGGAGTCAAAGAACTCTTAAAGGAATCCAACACTTGGCCCTCCGTATCGAAAGGGCTCTTAGAGGATGATGCAGTGGATATAGGGACAGCAAGAATGTCTTTCGCCATCTCGCTCAATATAGGATACCTCACCGCATAGATCATCCACCATCTCAGGATATCAAACTCTTGCGGTAGGGTCCCATTAGGCTCACGAAACTCGGCCAGGTATGTTTCCAGTTCAGTTCTATAAACATCATCCCTGCTCTCATCATAACTATCATTAAAACTACCAGTTTGTTTGCGCACATCCACCTTAGGAATCTCCATCGCAACATAACTTTTGGTTCTTTGGTTGGCAGGCATGAGCATTCTTTGGTAATGCTCAAACAGCTCAACGAGTTCTTCCTTCAGCTCTTCCACCAATTGGTCCCCTCTAGCTTCTCCATACAGCTTTCTCAAGATATACTTTGGATACTCCATTTTGTGTCTAGGATCAAGCACCACGGCTATGTAAAACAACCTATTCATTCTCGCATTTAAGTCATCCTTCTCAGACCAGTACTTTGCAACTCTGTTATGCATTTTTGAGGCCATGATTCTAACCTCGCCATCTTCACTGGATTCCATTGTATAGCTGTAATGGAAAATCTTTCCAAATTCTCTAAGAAATAGATGGGAAGTCACATAGGAAGCCTCTGAGACGAGCAAGGTGAACTCATAGAATTGTTTAAGGTATTTGCACAAATTCCTTACATTGTTCCAATCAGTTGGTGTTGGAGGACCCACTGGTTCATCTTTATACCTTTGGGCCTCAAGATCCGACCTGAAATTAGGATCTGATCTCTCAAGTGACTCAAATGGCTTCTCAAATATCACAGCTGCCAGCAACATGAAGCAAGTAGAATCCCACCTATTAGGCTCATCCAGGCACAACTTCCTCTTTGTCTCAATGTTGTGAAAGGCAACAAATTCCTTAAACTTAGCATACCTAGAAGGTAACGCAAGTGTCCATCTCACGGCCTCTCTCACCCGACTCACTGATATGCCGATTTCCTCCAACCCATCAGTGACGATCAAATTGATGATATGACTAACACATCGCGTATGAAGATATGTGCCATACCTAATACTGCTCCCCCAAGTGACAAGTTTATCCCTTAAATGGGTGACTGCATCATCCCTCACATTTGCATTGTCAACAGTGATGGAGAAAACACTCTTCAACTCCCACTCTTCCAGGCAACTTGCGATTTGCTCTCCGATATCGCAGCCCTTGCGGCTGGTAATTCGAAAGAAGCTGATAACCCTTCTGTGCAACTTCCAGTCTTTCCCAACAAAGTGAGCCGTTACAGACATGTAACTGTAGTTCTGAGCACACGTCCAACGATTAGTGCTGATAGAAACCCTCCCTGAAGCATTATCTGCGAAATACTCCTTCAACTTGTACCTCTCCTCGAGGAACAACCTAAAACAGTCCTGTCTAACGATCTTCCAGCTAGGAATCTCAAACATAGGACAAGCACGCTCCATAAACGTTCTAAACCCTTCGCGCTCAACGTACCTAAACGGCAAGGAATCTAGAATGATCATTTCTGCTAAACCAATCCTAGCTTCAGTCTGATCGAACTTCCAATCGCTCAAAATTCTCATCCTTTCAGCATCTGAACATGGCTCAAGTCCTCCTCCTAATTGCATCATTTCACCATTTTCCCCTCCCGTATCTCTCTTACAGAGCATACGCTGGTTTTTCATGGAAGATTTAGTACCGTTCTTCTTTGAATCCGCAGCAGCAGCAGCAGGCTCCGCTACCCTCCTCTTCCCTTTAGTTGCCTCAACCGTTGTTGGTGGTGGTGGGTTTTCCGCAGTAGACTCATTTCCACCAATTCGATGACGCCGTCTTTTGTTAGTGGAACGTAATGGAAGTTGAACATCTTCATCACTCGTCATTCTTCTTCTCTGCACAAGGATGCAAATTGTCAACGTCCAAAGCATTGAATGAGTCAGTTGAGTTTCTCAGTGAGAACTGAGAAGAATGGATTTACCTAAAAAAGAAATGCAGACGAACAGAGGAGAGAAGAGGCAGCTGATTCTGGCCGGAGACTGGCGACGGGACTCAGCGGACGGAGATGGGTCGACTGTCTAGAGGGCTGGCAGGCGGCAGCGACTGTGAACCCTACTCTTTTTTTAGACTGAACTGTGAACCCTAAGTTGGGGGAAGCTGAATGGAATGAAAAAAATAGAAAGTTGGAGCCTTTTATAAGTTGCTAGTACGGTTCTCGAAAGCAAAACGGTTTGAGACCGGACTGGGAAGACGGGGAACGGCGCTAATCGAGACCGGAGCTGATTCTGGACTGTACGGTTTCCGGTTAACCGTAATCTCCACCGGCGTTGTCTCTGGACTGTACGGGCTGACGGTTCCCGGTTAAACGTGATCCCCAAGAAATAACAATTATACAAACAGAATTCAGACATCCAATATTTTCCGATCAAGCTTTCCATATGTTAGAGATATGTTTGAGGAGGCATTTTAGTGTGCTTTATAGTATTGGTACTATAAAACATTTACAGCCATTAGATCATGTCCAAACTATATCAACCATTAGATTTCATTTTAATTATTAATTTATTATTTTATTTGTGTGTTGATGACCGGTACAACCGGTTGTCTGAAACCAATTACACTCTTCTTCCTTCGAAACCAATTACACTCTTCTTCTCACCGCCGAAACCCCTCTTCCTTCGATCCTCTTCCTTCCTTCCTTCGATCCTCTCCACGCAGCTAGCGAGCAGTGAAGACGGCGAGCAGTGGGTGACGACGAGTGAAGACGGCGAGCAGTGGGTGACGACGAGTAGAAGGCGGCAGTGAAGGTGGCGATTCGGATTCCGGATTCCGACGACGACAGTGAAGGCGGCGAGCAAGGGACGACGAGAGCGAGCATCTCTTCGTCGATTGCAAACGAAGACCCTCTTCCCATCGATAGCTAACGAAGACTCTGCACAAAACCCCTCTTCCCATCGATAGCAAACGAAGACCGCTGACCTACCTCCTCCACCGCAACATTTTTCGGTTAGTACTATCTTCTTTGTGTTTAGCTTGATAATTAGCTGCAATGGCGGTTCCTGTTGTTCCTTCTTTTGTTTTGAAGGAGAATTTGCAGCATTTACCTTCTCTTCACCTTGTTTTTGCTGTTGAGGTTGTGCTTGATTTGTCTCCGTTTCAGCAACATCCTTAGCAGGCTCTTGTTGTTGTTGTTGTTGTTGTTCCTCAATCTTCTTCTGTTGAGGAGGAGCATTGGGTTCTTCTGTTGTTAGGGGAGAGTTCGAGTCTGAAGAATTCACAGCAGTTGTGGTTGTTGTTGTTGTGGTTGCGTTGTGGTTGTTGATGATGCTTCCTTTGGTGAGGAAGCTTTGGATGGCTGTTGTTGTTGTAGTTCTTCCATCTTCTTCGTGGGAGGATTCGAATCGGACGAATTCACAGTATTCATTGTTTTTGTGGTTAATGATTCTCCTTTTTGTGGGGAAGCTTTGGTGGTAATGGTGGTGGAGGAAGTTTGTTGTTCTTCATTCTTCGAGGGGGCATTTGTATCGACCGAATTTGTTGCATTCGTTGTTGGGATGTTCTAGATTTACACATTTCGGTAGGGGGATTGAAATTCCATGCTCGTTTTAGGTTTATGAGTTTAATTGGTCATGTCCTTTGACCAGGTTGATGTCCTTGTACTATCTTCTTTGTGTTTAGCTTGATAATTAGCTATATATTGACTTATTTAGTGTCAAATCTGACCTAGCTAGCGATTGTGTTCCTTCCTTTATGCATGCCAGTTTTAACTTTTTGATTGGAGAGACTTGATTTGTGTTTTATGGAGGCAAATCGAATAGGAATGTTCATACTGAAAGTTTGATTCTTTTCAGTTTGGCTTGAGACAAGTTGGATTGTTGTGTGCCTTCAAACTGAGTCTGCAGAGAAAATTTTGGAAGAGTTGATTTGGTCTTGTTGGTATTGTAGTGTCGTTACCGTTGCTTGTTGATTACATTTTGGACTGTTAATTGAAGGGTCTTGCTTGGCTGCATGAAAGGTGCAATTGAGTGTGTTAGTCAAGAACTATTTCATGAAATCAGGGTGACTTCAGTTTTAGCCAGTTTGGATGGAAATAGAGCGAGTGTTTATGGTGGTGTCATGGGTTATGGAAAGCTTAGTGGCTATGCTCGTGGTCATGTTATTTAGCTCTCAAAAGTTGTAAGTTGTGTGTGGTTTCTGGAAATATCACGGCTGTGAGAGAGACCGTGGATGTAATTCTGGAAATATCACGGCTGTGAGATAGGCCGTGAGAGAGACCGTGTATGTAAAAACGCACTTCTCAGTTTCCCAGAGGTTTTCACGGGTTGCCTTCGACAGTATCACGGCCGTGAGATGAGCCGTGTTTTTGGATATGGATGATGGGCATCTCACGGCCCCTTTGTAAATTCTCACGGGCCCCTTTGTAAATTCTCACGGCCCCTTTGTAAATTCTCACGGGCGTGAGAATAAGCCGTGTGATTGTCTGGAGATTGTCTGGGATATAAAAACTACTCTTTGCTTCTCACGGGTCATGTCACGGCCGTGAGAATTTGCATTTTGGGTGAAATTTAATGGAAGCTGGGTGTTTTGGGTGAAATTTATATATGCCAATGGCGGATTTCATGGTTAATTAGTGTACTCAGGTGTTGATGTAGGGGGTTTTCAGTTCTTCTGGTAGTTAGAACTCGTATTTTGTTTGTACTCTTCGGCATGCTTATAATTCGTGTTTCAAGGCATGCTTATAATTTTTCTGTTGTTTTAATTTTGCAGTTTGCTAAAATTGTTCTATAATGAAGACGAAGAGGCATCAAATTTTCAGCACGCGATGTTCTCCTAGGAAAGTATTCTCACTAGTCTCAAATTTAGAGGCTTGTCAATCAGAGGCCATTAAGAGATGTGACTTTGGTCGTATTCTTGAAGTCAAAGCAAGAAAGCTACAACGTGAGTTGTTGGAGAAACTTGTGAAGAGCTTTAATCTGGAAGAAAGCACAATTAAGGCGTATGGGTTGGAAGTGCATATTTCGGCCAAAGATTTCGAGCGAATTATGGGTGTGCCTGAGGGAGGTACTGATATCATCTTGAATGGTGAAGAAGTGGAGGGAAGATCAGAGGAACTGGAACCATTTAGAGTGTTTTCGACACGTGATTGTGGTCGACAGGCGATTTCCACAAGCTTAATGCAGAAGGAGTTGTCGAAGATGAAAGATAGCGATGATCTATTTCTTCAAATGTTTATTTTGTACGTAATGGGGGTGCTATTAGTACCAACTAGAAGAGAGGACATTTCCTTGTCTTTGGTATACGCTGTCACCGATGTTGCAGACATTCCGAAGAAGAATTGGGCATCCTTTTGCTTCAATGAATTGGTCAAATGCATCTGCGACCATAATGCTTATAGGAGAGAGTATATACCGGGTTGCTTGCTGTTTTTGGAGGTAAATAATTGCTAATCCCGACTTTCTACATATTTGTAATGATTAATCATCATGTTGATTATAGTATTTTTTTTTGTAGTTAATATTCTTGGAGCATGCAAATGGTATATTCCAAACCATTGATAGGAGTTTGGATTTGATGAGTTGGGAGAGCGGAGACGTGGAGTTATTGTTAACAAAAGTGGTAAGATTGATAGTATATTTGATTCTTTTGACAAGTTGGAGCATGCTAATGGTACATTTGGTTCCCTTTTTAATTAATTTATAGGTTTCCAGCAGTTCGGGGAAAAGATCAGCTGAGGATGCCGGTTTGAAATCACCTCCAAGGAAACGGGGAAAAAGAGACGGGAAACGGCACAAACCCGACGGGGATGAGCTGCTTCTCTATGAGCGTATTGATGCTCGGTTTAGTACCATGGAGGGTAGAATTGACAACTTTGGTCAAGAATTTAAAGTGGCAATGGGTGATGCTGCTTCTAGAGATAATGAGCTAATGAGCCGGGTTGTGAAAATGGAGAACGAATTTCGGGCTTTTAGAGACGAAATCGGTACTGCAGTGGAGTCCCTTATAGAGGCAGTGAAAGCAACTGTAGGTGATCCGTTGTCAAGGGAGCAGCCTAGGGAACCCATTTCTCCTACAGCTGAGTTGAAAAAGAACGATCAGAAGGGTGAGGTTGAAAAACCTAGGGAACCCATTTCTCCTACCTTGGAATGTGTCAAGACTGCCAAAGTTGAGAATTCGGGAGAAGCTGAGGGGGAAATTGGAGATGAGAGATGTTCTGAATCTCCTTCTGTGAAAGTTGTGAAAAAGTCTCATTGCAAGCAGCCTAAAGCGTCGCAAGTTGAGAAATTCATATTGTTGAGTGATGAAAGTGTTGCTGCTAATGATGGTTGTTCCAAGGCTGTGAAGGTATTTCACTTGATTAATTTTTCTAATTATTGGTTCTTATGGTGTGGTTACTAATGAACTGGTTTTGTTTTTATGTTTTTGAACAAGAAAGGGGCGAAAGGGAGGTGCACTACGTAGTGTGTCTAAATTGAAGCCTAGTTTGTATGTGGTCTCTCCATTCGAACGGGCAAATCCCAGAGCTAAGAAAGCACAACCTTTGTACCGTGCTCCTCCCTTTGTTGTTCAGACACCATTGACTCTGGAGGCAGTAAAGATGCTTCAATTTGCTTTTAGTAGTGAGCTTCCCGAAAGGTACCTCCCGAAATCATTACAAGTAAAATTGGATCATATTTGTAGGATGTTTTTGGTATTTGCTTATTCTAATGTTGTGTTGTTTGAACTTGGTATTGTATAACAGTGACACATTGGTTAGTGTTGGTGGCGGGGTTCTTTCCTTGTTACGTGAAGATTTTGTCGAGCTTTTGCCAAGGACCAAAATTTCAACAAGGGTAAGTTCATTTATGTGTGTAATTTAGTAGATTGAACGTGTATTGCTGACTTTGGTATATGTGATG